ATCATTCATGGCGGCCAATTCATTTTGTATTCCTCGTGTGTAGAGTCAATTAGTAATCATGGCAAACTGAAGTGCTTCCCTAATAATTAAGACAACTGTGCTGTGGGCACAAAGTTTGCAATCAATTGTACCATCTGTCATTTTGTAATTTGTTCAACATCACAGAGTTCAGAAACAGAGGACAACTGCGTTGATGTAATTAGGCTGTAACCGCAGGTACATGTACATGTACAGGTGTATCAGCCTTGGTTCAAGAACAAAACAAGGCATTTGTTTCCATCGAAGAAAGATGAATGATCCGAAGTTGACATAAAGCCAGAGGAAAACTTTGTTGGCTTTGTTTTTGTAACATGGAAATTTTGAGTTCTGTGAATTGTTAAATGATCATTCATTTCATCCTTTCATGTCCATGTACATGTAATGAGATTGTTATAAAATGATGCGCATGTGTGTATTTTTCCCCTCTTTGTAGGAGCCGCCAGCTCCTGTTTGTCATTTGGTAGTGGATGTGGAAAGACTGCCTTAATTAATCCTTGAAAAGTTATGTCCCTCCATTAATTATCAATTAAAATCTGATTTAATGAGCAAGTTGTAAAGGGCAAAGTCAGCTTACATGTGAACATATGTATGGAGAGCTTTCCAGGATAACTTATTGCCTGGGTACGTTTGTGTTCATGAATGTATCCATAAATAGCGTTTTAAACTTAAGGTTGCCATCGCAGTCATGGATATTTTTTGGGGGTGTTCAAGCATTGTCTTATCGCTGTCAGATGATCTCTGTTGTCACCAGGTAATCTGTTGTTGAGATGAGCATGCAGCAAGCGGATATGAGTCAATAAACGGAGCGGAGCTGAGTCACTGATTACGTTGAAGTTTTTGAAATTGAGCACAGTCTATTCACCTCTCTCATCCCGTGGGAAGGATTAAAGGCTCTCCCTTCACATCTGAACTGCAACTTCACTCCTTCAAATCCCTGTTACCATAGAAACCTCTATGCCCGTTGGCATGTGTCCCTTCATCTAGTACGTGACCCATGTCCCACTTAAAATTACATTGTAATTGTTACAATCTACTGAAGTTGAAGGTCTGCACGTTTGTACCTTTTAAAACTGTAAAAAGAATTTGTGGCATGGGCTTGCCTGTTACTTCAAAGAGGATGTTTTTGTAAGACTGTTTTAGGTGCAACCCTAGTCGGTGGCTGATTTAGTAGGAATTTCCCTGGAGATTGAAAGAGATAGTGCTCCATAGAAATGCTGTCTGAAGTCCATATCAAGCACTTGCGTGGCTGTTTACCTTGACTTCTGAAGGAGAAAGCTGTATAAAGTTGCCAGCTTGAGATGAGGACCGGAAAGAATTTCTTGAGGGCACGGTCCATTGCCAGGTTCTTGAGATCCTTTAAGGGATGGGATTTAGACCCAGGTCAAGTTTCTAATGGACCCTGCATATGACCTGAACTTCTGCACTGTACATCCCATGAGGGCTGTAGATACATAGGAGGGTACTGCCTAAAAACTTGAAAGTGCACTCACATTTTTTTTCTTGTTTAGGTGTCCTTAAAATAAGAATGAATTTGAATGAAATTGACAAAATACAGAAAAAAGAATCCAAGTCAGTCAATCATTGCTAATCCATTTTACATGAATACATCATAATTTATACATCAGATACTAGTGTTTTTTTTCCCTCTGTTACAAAATGGGCAAGTGATGTCCAAGATTGGAAGCTCGTTTGAAATTCATCTACTACCCAATATTCACCTGGAGGGCATTTTATATTTGTGTCAAAAAAGAGGGAAAAATCTAGCCGAACATTAACGCTTCGACAAACTAGCCAGTAAATAAACTTCTTCCTTCATTTAGTCATATATTGTACATGCTGAATGCACAGCATCCCCTCTTCATGTATCTGCTCTTAGTGTAACATGTACAAGAAGCATGCAGCATCTCGATGGGCCACTGCCAAACATTGTGAAGTGTTTGCTTGGACCATCAAAGTGCATCACAAGCCTTTAGTACTGGCCTGGAGTTCTCAAAGTAGAGGGGCAGGGGTGTGTTGGGACAAACATTGAGACAAAAGGATGCTCCCTCGGCCTGGGCAGTTGAGAGCTGTGCAAATAGCTAACTGGACAACAGATGGTCCCTAAACAAAAGGAGACGATAAAGATACTCTGGAAATGAAAGAACTTGGTTTGACAGAAACGTGTGAAGGTTTCAAGGCCACCATAAAAGGTTCTCTTATTTATCTAATTGAAGTTACAATGCATGTCTCATGTAACAACTGAGAAATATGAACAAGAAGAATTGGAAGTTGGCTAATTGGGAGATGCAGTTGTATGAAATAAAAGAATGTAGCGTTTATGTTGCTCTTGCATGTTTTTGCTGGGTCTTGCTAGTCTAATACAGTGTTTGTGGTGAAAATCTCGCCACTTCTGCGGCTAGTATTAGGGGTGCATTATGCTCATCAGTAAAATAGTAATGATTCTTGTGCTGATATTGTTCTGTGGCATACATGAGTTCTTTTATTCAAATGTAATGTCTAAAATGGGTGGGTTCTCTAGTGTCGCTATCAATTTGAATGTGACTTTGATACAATACAACAATAAGTTTTTCATTGAAAATTCACAATTTGGTCCAAATTCCTTTTAAAGTAAATTTTCCGTTATATTTATGATATAACCCCCTGTTGTACTTTAGAGGAACAACAATATCAACCAAACTATTTATTTTTCCTGATGTTAGTGGCTTTTTAAAACGTAATTACACTTCCCTGGAAGTTTAATGTATTTTTTGTACACACATACCGGTTTATTGTTAACTATACAAATTTCGTGCAGTTCATCGCATATAATGTTTTAGATACGTGTATGCTGCCTGGCAAAGATTATTATTCACTGCCTGTCATACATATGATTGTCTGAAATGTTTACTGAATGGTTAAAAGTTCATACAGTGTAAGGTTTGGTGAATATCTTCCAAATTATTCAGAGATCGTTTACAGTGGTTTTCTGGGGATGAAATGGAATGAACTACGACAGTGTTGCAGCTTCAACAATGGTGTCTGTTGAAACTCAATAGACCGATTGTGCCCACTAAATCATGTGACCTATAGTGGGCATCAACCCCATAGGTTACGTGACTTACCAGGCGCAATCGGTCTATTATAATGCATGTGGAGAAAATGCTTTGGTTTGAAGCCATAAGTCTATTGCATCGTGCCTGTCAATGTGAGGTGCAACCTCAGTTTAATAAATCTGTAAACATGTTTATATGATGTCATGGTACGACCTGTATGTATGGGGCAGCTTGTTGATGTGGAGATGTCCTTGGATTCTCACAATTCCTAAAAGTGCTCTCTTCCAAGAATTTCCAATATACGGTCCCTCTTGACTCAACAATCTTACAAAACCTTGCTATCCAATTCTATTTTTCTTTTATGAATTATGGCATGACAAGGATTTTCTGCCTCTGAGGAGCATAAATTGTTGAAAGTTTTAAACATTGCTTTGCGGGACAATATTTTCAAAATCTTTGCCAATTCCTTGGAAATCATCCAGTTTGAAGGAGACCAGTAGCAGGCTGTGCTGTAGTTGAGTACTTTTGAGCACCAAGGTCCTCTGCCAAATACTGAACTGGGTACAAGAAGGACTAGAGCTGGAGTACCAGTACATAAGTATTTGAAGGTACCGTAAATGCACCAAGGTACATGTAATATTACAAACTACGTGTAAATGGAAGACTTCAGACACTCCGAGTTTTGTAAAATTTATGTTTTAGAGAGAAAAGTACTTGGCCGTTAACTTGGTGCTCGAAAAGTACTCTCTCAGGTGTAAATCGTATATGTACTTTATTTTCCCAGTCCATGAAGCCCCCCAACACATAAAAATTACTGCTTTTACATGGACCTTGTACCTTCCTCTGCTTATAAAATCCCCGCAGAAATTATCTGATGGATTTTGAAGGATCAGGGGGTGATTTTAGGATGCAGATCATTCAGTTTACTGCTGTACAATAAATGAAGAGTTTGGATGCAGAAATGGATACAGAAACAGAAATCAATGAGTTTTATTTTGTTTTGTTTTTGTTTTGTTTTTTTAGAAAACGCCTGTTACTTTGTGCACAAAAGCTTTGAAAAGTTTAATATAAGAAGTCAAATTGTTGAGAAAAATAGGTAGACTATTTTACGTTTATGTAAAATTTAGCTGTGAATGGCTTTTTCTGGCTAACTTCTTCAAATAGTTTCATGCATGTAGCCAGTGTGCAGGCGTGCCATATATAGTGTGGACCTCTGCACAATAGAAGTTCACATAATGTAGGGTGCAATGGCATAGTGTGTGCCAGTGTGTGTATACATGGGTGGTTCCAGAAATTAGGGGTCCATTTTTTTTGTCCCTGTCACATCTGACATATGATTTTGTAAGTTCAGAACACATTTTCCAACTTCCAGAAGTGATACATGCAAGTCACCTGCCAAACAAAAAGTAATAGTTTGAAATCAATTCCGGTGATATTTCCATATCAAACGGCAAATGCCAGATGTAACAGGAACACAAAAATGTCACACTTTTATACCCCTAATTTCTGGAATTACATGTACCTACATGTATATGTAATACATATACACCTGCACTTGGACTTCAGTTTTACAGGTGGTTTTTGTTGGCAGATATGTATATGTGCACTGTGATTGTTTTTATTTTGGCAATGAGAATGCGGTATCTTAATAATATTTTCCACATGGACTTGTGGAATACTGGCATAAATCTTCATTTTAGAGAAAAAAGAGTGTGACTGGTTTACAGTCCGTTGGTTTTTTTTTTTGTTCAATTCTTATTCCATCCCATCCCCCCATTCTCACTGGTGCCCACACCCACTCTTCTCCCATTGCTCTCCATTCCTGCTTGCTGATTTTTAGTGACAGAGGAATCTTGGAGGCATACCGGTACAATTCAAGTTTGAATGTATACCAATTTGTTTGTTTCTTTGTCCCCATTTCTTGTTCAGGTTCAGGACAAGTTCAGACGCTGGTTGTTGTCATACCAGAGGAGACAGACATTCTGGATGGCACCGGCACTCTCTCTTGGGATAGCCTGTCCTTTTGCCTGCCAGAGTTCGGGGCTTTGGAGACGGCACTACCCTACATGGCTTGTCATTCTGCCCCGGGGGACATCCGAAAGACTTGTAAAATATGCCACGGTGGTGGACCGAGAGTGATCACTCCACCTGACTTTTCTCGTAAATTTTGATAAGTCTGAGGAGTTAAAGCGTTTCATTGCAACAGAGGGAATCCATGAGAATCTAGCTTTCACATCTTAACCCAGGTGTGGCCATGTGTATCGCTTTTGATTATTGCCTTAATGTGGACAGATGTGAGGCAAAGTGGACATTTGTTTGGAGCTTAAATCATGCTTGTAAAGATGCCCCTTCATTGTTACCGTTCCTGTTTTAGAATTGCAATGTTTACTGTTAAGTCATGAGATCCCCATGTAGTGCTACCCATAAATGGGTGGTGTGTACATGTAAGTTCCCGAAGTGCTGTGCCAACTTGCTAAGCACCTGTGCCAAGCGTGAATTTGCAAAGCCCTGATAGCCAGCTAAAATGTGATTTGATACATGGATGAGACGTGACTTTTTCAGTCAGTCGATTTTCACAAAAGCCTTTATATTCACTGAACAATATTCACCTTTATGTATTGCTGCAATGTTGTTATGTACCGCAGCAACATTGTCCGATTTGGCCTGGGTTTGGCACTGTACCAGGGAATGGGTAACGGCAGAAGGTTCCACCTGCTGATACCAGACACACCAGTGATTTTGCATAAACAGCAGCTGTGCAAAGTAGAAAACCCGACTCTCCCAAAGACTGAAGAGCCTCATAAATGTTGGACTCTTGTGTGGACAAATACGCGTCCGTGTACTTGCCGAGCAAATTTTCCTGCATGTGTGTAAATTATTGACATCAACTCCAAAGAGATATTTAAGCAAGTTCTCATGTCATTAGTAGAAGTATGGATTAATAATTCTGATAATAATTAGAACCTATAAAAAAAAATGAAACTAATCTCAGTGCTAGTAATGATCTCAGTAGGTATATTTTTGAGTTTTTCTGAATAATGGACAAGTTACATATATACCAGGATTTGAGTCTCCCTCAGCTGTCTGATTTCAGGCTTTTTTCCCCATTACTGGCACCATGTATTGGTTTGAACTTTTCTATTTTACCTGAACTTTCTAGGAAAAATGTCAGCACCTATGTTCATGACATAATTGATGTGTAATCCTAGGCATGGGAAAGGGAAATTGGAGGACACAGGTAATTTTTTTTATTATGTACAGCACATGTTAAAAAAAAAAGGTCATTTGGGCACATGAGAGATGTCAAGTTTGAACAAAATTGGCCTTTCTAGAGAAACGCTGTCAAAAGTGTGGTAATTCTTGTTAATTATCAATTCAAAGTTAAGGTTTAAAATGGAATGGATTGCCAACAGTGCTTCTGACTGCATCCTGAGAATGAACATCTGGGCAGTGATATTGTGTTCTGGCATCAAATGCAGGAGTTGCTGGTCATTGCTGTGTGTTGCTTGATAACGATATCGGCCGCCGACAGTAATCCCTTTAATGGGAAGTATTTGGCCATTTGAACTCATGCGTACGTAACCCACCCAGCTTTTTTTAATCTCGCTAAAACCGTCACAACTTTAACCCTCTGTTGTCTGCTTTCCAATTACCACAATTTCTAAATTGGTGCTCCAAAATACTTTCCCCTTACCTAAATTACCAGTAATGTGGAGACATGTCTACAGAGTGAATTGTTGTTTATGGGTAATTCCAGAAATTAGGGGTCCAAAAGTGTGACATTTTTGTGTCCCTGTTAAATCTGACTTTGGTTATTTGACATGGAAATATCACCTAAATTGGTTTCAAACTATTACGATTTGTTTGGCAGGTAATTCGCATTAATTCATCACTCTTGGAAATGAGAAAATTTGTTCTGAACTTCCAAAATCAAATATCAGATGTGACAGGGACACTGAAAATAAATGGACCCCTAATTTCTGGAATTACCCTTATATGCGATTCCATTCAGGAAAGGAGCACATAAAGGAAGTGAGCACAACTGGGTGCGCGTGTGTGTGGAAATCACTTTTTGTTCATTTGTTTATTTGCTTCTTAATTCTGAATTCTAGATACATGCACCCGTCATTTGCCTCCGTGGATGTATTTTCTGTTTGAGAGGAGGCTAGCAACTTCAAACATCAAATGGCAAGAACAAATGTAGTTAATGAAATTGTGTCTCGTTGAAGGTTTAAATTCGTGATCAGAATTTGTATTACCTTAGTTTGCATTGCAAATATCCAAGAAATAAAAGGGGGAGGGCCTACTTCAGAAGTAATGCACATGGTTTGCGTACATGTACATATATTTAATGATTGATGAACTATGTACACATTAGAGTTCTTGTCAACACCTTTTCTGTACCCAGCTGTTTGACTGGTGATACCTGCAAGAAAAGTAGATAATGCAAGGCTGTCTATTCAGGCACGAATCCATTCCATTAAAAGCAATGCATGAATGGAGTGAAGAATGGAACACCCAATGATTGGTCAGTAAAAGTCTACACAGATCCTGTATTCCCTGTTATTCATTAAAGCACTTCGTGTAATGTGCCTTGATTCAATATTCCAAACAATACCACAATTTCTGTAACAAAACAGCAGCACTTTCTTCCTTCTGTTTCCTTTGTGTTTGTTGCCTCTGCTCATAGCTTTTTGCTTGAGCTCCCCAGTCTTAGCTTTTGTGCTAGTACACAGTCAAGGTGCATGATGCTTAACACGTGTGCTAATAGAACCTTTGTCTGTATATCTTTTGAGAGGGACCATCCAAGTAAATATCACAATAATTTGTATCACAATGGTATTTACTTTACACTTGAATGAAAATTTTCATCAATGCACCAGCACTGATTATTAGGGGTATGTGTGGTTTCAGTAGTCACAACTTTTCTGCTTAGGTTAGTGAATACATGGACCCTAACTTTGCTTAATTCCGTAAGATTTCATGAAATTCAAATGGCATAGATAGTGGATTTATGGGGAAGGGTAAATTCAAGCCATTAGACAGTGGCATGAAATTTGGTTTTTGATATTCAAACTGCCAGTTTTCCCAAAGTCAGTTGTAAATGGTACATGTATATTCTACTTTTTGTTTTGTATGACGACGTTTCTGTTTTCCCCGGTGAATGAACACCAAATTTAGACTTGCTTGTATGATCTTTGTTCTGTGATTGAGGGGGTTATTTTTTATACTTATGTTACTTGGTTGAAGGATAGCTGGTTATTAATTAATCATTGCTGTCTGACAAGCCAAAAAGTTGTCATAGTTTGGGTGAAAAGGTTGGAGCCACGCTGGCCTTTGCCTGACCTTTTGTGACTATTTTACCGGCTGTACGCTTTTCTGAATTTGGTCTGAGGATTTGCAGAGAATCCTAAACATCATCAGCATCATTGGCCCAAGCATCAGACTGTAAACCTATAAATATCACCAACAAGGTTCTTGCAGGCCGTCGCCACCAGCCAGATTTTGAAATACCAGAAAGACAGACATCCGTGACTCCCAGGCACGCGTACGGGTGGGACGTAAAGGGTAAGGCAGATTCCCACGCGCCAGCACACCTGGCATGCGATACGTCATGCTGGTTGCTCAAAAGATTTGCGCCGTGACCGTGTCAACTCTCTAGCTCATGGTTTGGAGTCAAACCCATGGGAGTCACACCAGCTGTTTCATCTTGTTGGGGTGGAGTGTGGTACCAGCTGTGAATGCAGATGGCTGGTTTTTTGGGGGGATCCAATCCATGCTTTGCGTGAATTTATCGATTTCAGTCGTCATATTTCATTGCACGGTAAAGTGGTTGGCAATTGTGCTTGTGAACTCTGGTTTTTGAGAAACACACGTGGAGAGTAAAACCAATTACATTGATAATTAGCTCTTATTGGATAATTTGATTGATATTTCTGTTCCTAAGTGTGCATTTTCCTAGTGCACGCTGAGGCAAATTTTCACATGAGAATTCTCTTCTAAGATCATGATGTCATCACAGAAATGCATTTTGTGCCAGAAAATGCTTGTATCAGAGCTGAAGTAACAGGTTACTTTGTAATCATGTTTCGTCTTAATTTTTAGATAATTGAACAGAAAAGAATGCACAGCACTTCACTTGAGATCTTGAAAAGGGTCAATTTATCAAAATCCATGAGTCCTCAAGCAAAAGTTGCAGTGGGAAGGAACGCCCCAGAAAACTATTGGAGTTTTCCTAATTCATCTACGTGGTATATATCTAGTTTATAGTTTGTTCTTATTCTTTTTTTTTGTACCTTTGCTCTTTATTTCTTTACTTTGGAAGGGGGCTTGAAAGTTTTTCCCTGGTAACTTACATTACTTGATTTATTTAATCCCACATTCTAAATTATTAATCCTTTAAAGAATCATTGTGATTTAGACAGCAACAGAAACTTGGTCTCTCGACTTTTTCATATGTTACGATTTTCACACTGCCCTGATCTTAAGTTCTTAATCAGTACCTGATAATTTTCAGCCACAACGGGAAGGGTTTAGCCCAGGTGTTCATCTGTCCTTGGTATCTTATCACCCATTGTTCACCCATATTTGCTCTTCATGTTCCCTGCAACTCTTTTGGGCTAAGAATCTAGATCCAGGATCTCGGCAAATATACTAAATCCAAACTACACAGAGTTTGACAGGTGCCTGACAGCGAAAGTTCATTATTTTTATGAGGCAATTCAGACTGAGGGATTAGAGGAATAACTTCTTGTAAGAGTTTTTAATAAGCTTTTTTCCCCTCTTAACTAATGTATTTATTCGTGTTTTTTATTGCATCACCGGTGAATCATTGGACTTGGAAATGTTTCATGCTTGATACACTGTAACTCTTTAAAATATACGAACGATTTATTCTGAGAAATTGGTACTTTTTAACCAGTACCAGTTTTAATAAAACAAACCATAAATCCCCTGTTCAAAAAAAGGTTGAGGGGAAAGGATTTCATTTGCTTCATGCATCAGTGGTGACTTTGTCTTCTGATTTTGGTCAGGCCATATTTCTTGGGGAAAAAAAAAATAGAACAGAATGTGGAAAGCTGTGCCTTTTGATTGCCTGTCGGTGTACTTTACCTATGAGCTCTTTGTAATCATAGTAATCTGGTAGCCTAAAATGTCCTGCATGAGCGATTTCCTAGAAGTTAAAATCATCCTTTGACAACTGTTTACAACTGGTTGCCCAGGCAACTACTGGTTGCCTGTGCACTCCAGTTAAACAAAAATCCTCAGGCAGAGTAACATCCATGAAAGAGTTTTTAAATAGTTGAATACAGATCCAAGTGTTTGAGGAGAAAACTGGACAGTGGGGTTAAGACAGATACCTTATAAAAACAATCCATCTGACACTCATTTAGTACAGCAGCTTGATTTTCTGGCCAGAGATAGTCATGTCATAAATTGACTCAATGGGACAAGTCATGCCGGCATCAGATTCGGTCTTCTATACCCTCGTAATTTGTGCATGATGAATGTGGAGTTTAATCTGGTGCTGCCTCTAGGATTGGATGTGGTGATGAATGCCATGCTGTCTGGGGAAGAATTAAGTGCAATTAGGCCTGTAGGCTTCAAAGACTACTCCAGCAATGGCCAGGAATATTCCAGAAAATTCACTCGGCCAGAAAATTGATTGCAACTCTCTGGACCTGTTTGGGAGCTGAGGAAGCCATTCTGGATGGGTGCTTTCTTGTTTTGAGAACATAAAGCACCTGCAGTCACAATTACTCCACGTGGTACTTAGTGTAATTATGGCTGAGTCCCATCTTTCTGTGTCCTGCAGATTCTCCCAAACCTCCTGCTTGATGTCAGAAGGATCGGAGAGGATTTGGCAGTCAGTGTCAAGCAATTTGACTTACCAGCTGTGAGTTGGCAAAAGTAAAAATTTACAAGACTGCATAAGAAAGCTACTGATAAATATAACATATAGAATGAGGTCTGAGCAAGGTGTCTGTTAGATTCAGGGAGGAAATCCCCTTAAAGGGAGATGCTGTCATGCTCTAAAGCATGCACTGTTAGAATCACTATGTGTTGATGGATGTCAGCATCTCTACACTGTCTCCATGGTCACCATGGATGTTGACCACTTATGAGAATTCTGCAGAATTGGTTGAATGGACATTCGCAGTACTGGTGTTTGGTGCATTTGAAGATGGGTAAAGGATGTTGATTAAAACCTGTCCAGAGTGCCGTTTGTATTTGTACTGGGCACGACCAAGACACTTGAGGCTTAGTGCTTGGTGAGTCAGATTATAATTCCAAGATGTCATCCTGTGTAAGACATCAAAGGTGAATTGATGGCATAAGGGTGATGCACAACCCCTTCAGTGCAATTCAAAATGAGGGAGTTATTCTTGAACACTTTTGTAACCAAATATTGCAATTTTGTTTTTGGAGCATACCTTTCTTTGTAATTCATCTTGCAAACTTCATCTGAGTTACGTCGGTACATATTGGGGGTAATTGTTCATGCTGCGATACATTATCCTGATCGCAACCTGGTACAGTTTTCTGTAAATGAACTGCTTTTATACAGTGCTGCAAACATCAATTGCCCGTTGATTGCAAACAGGAAACAGAACGAAAATGTTTCCGAGAAAAAATGTGGTAGTCTGGACTTGTGTGATTGCCCTGTGATACCAATGAAGCCGACAGAGTGGATTTAATAACAACACTGGTACTAGGTTGAGTGTGTCTCTCCAGAAATGACAAATGAAGAATTTGGGTTTCCAGTAAATCTAACCATTCTGGTCAAAGGTTTTCTGTAATGGAGCCTGGTGTGAAGATATTGCAAAACATTATAAATGACTTCAAAATTTTCGTAAACACTCTTTGCTGTGGTAATTTATCAGTACTCATTTACTGTCTTTCCAGTTTGGACAAATTTATTCAATGTTGGAGAAGTTGTTTTTCAAAAGAAATGACTTACAAATAGTTCTCTTTGGATTGGATAGGGAAGGAAATTTTATCTTTTATTAAATATAAGCATACGAACTAGATCTGACAAAACCCCAGGTTAAGGAAAAAACCCTTAAAATCAGATGTTAACAACAGCTGACTGTACATCTGATAAAATTTGTTATTGCTAAGTGTTTCTCAAGTCTAACATTACGGAGTGAAATGCTCCTGTTTTTCTCTTAGATGTACTGTCATGTGACCTCAAATCCTCCTCCTTTTGTCTTGAAAAATGTTTTCTGATTTCCTCTGATCAAGTCACAACTGAATTCTCCAGTATCGTATTTCAATACGGTGTTGGAGGAGAACAGCAAGTTGAATCCAAGTGTTCAATTCTTAAAGTCAACAGAACTAGTTATTCGTAGTATTTGATGCATCAGTTACTGGTAGATGTACATGTACCTTGCTGTTGGATGTGTGTGATTTATATAATGCAGCTTCCATACCAAGTTATCATGCAGTGTTTTGTGTAATGGCTGCCTGGTACAAGTCTGGCACTGCTGTCGATATTTTTGTACATGTGTAGTTGTTATTTTTGTACATATATTTATCTCTGTTTGCTCGCCTAAAATGTTTATTTTGTTGTATTGAAATTAGTGCTCTTTCAGTTTAAATAGCAGCCAGTGGTATAACACATTGGATGTGGGGAGTCATTGTTTCTGTCTCTCTTTTTTTTGTATTTACGTTGTTGCATTTTTCTTGCTCTTCTGTTTCTGTCAGTGGAAGTTAGTGCAGGTTTCAAGTTTTCTTATATTATTCGCCACTGTTTTTCATTACTTTGGCTTAGCTAGGGATTCCTAGTACTTGTCTTTTTATAGCTTATTATTTATTACAAATGCTCAAGGGGGAGAGCCCGAATAGAATGCAGGAAATCTGTGTGGTATTTTCTTGTATTATAGTGCATTTTGGAAATGTTCCAAATGTCTTGTATAAACTGAGATGTATGAAAAAACAAATATGCTGACTAGCCTTTATGTTTATATTACCTTGGCTTTACTTCCACAGCTTTATTTCCTTGACTTGTGCTGTTCAAGAAGAGTATGAACAGAGAAACTAGAAAAGCTGGGTTTCAATTTTATTAAGGGTTGAATTCTGATGGTTTAAGTTCCTTGCCTTTTGATTGCTCTTATCTTCAGTTATTTGGATCATTGCTTAAAAAGTAAAAGCAGAAAACTTGTGTCTGTAAGTCCAAAGATGAAAGGTTGTATTCCAGCTTGCCTTAATAGCACCTTTGATAGTACTACATGTAACGGTTTTTAACTATACCTTATATGCAACCAAAAGTAACACTTTTTGAATAAAAAATGTAAATAAGAACAAAGGACGTTATTCACAACTTGATGTAGTCCAGAGTATCTTGAAGAGCAGGGGAAGATAAACTGCTCACACACACGCACATGTTCATACGCAAATTTAAAAAAAACTAATTTGGATTCAGAACACCACCTATTTTCACAAATGTAATGCGGCCCATACTAAGGCAGTTGGCAGTGCTGGCCATTTTTTGGACATGTGTGAGATTTCACCTGGACACTGAAATCCCAAGTGTCTCAACCCTCCCCGTAGACTTTGTGGTGTGGCTTGAGGAAAGCTGTCGGGGATAAAATGCAATAAAATTCTGGTGGTAACAGGGCCTGAATTTTACGTGAATTCCAATAACTAGTGCATTTGTTTTTCAAACCGTGTGTGATTCCAAAGACTTTGCAGTACTGTCTACTTGTTTCGCTGGTTGTTTCTAAAAAGAAGCCTTCGTGTTAAAGACTATGAGATGATTGCAGTTGAGTAACTGGAGTTATAAGTATTTTCACTGTGGACATAGGTCATCTCAACCAGTGTATTTAGTGTAAATAAGGTTAAGGTAATTCAGATATTGTTATTTTCCAGTAATGCACTGATGGTGGTGGTTTTAGCAGCCACTGATAAGTTTTTCAATAAAGAATTTAAATGGTTTCATAAGGATTGTTTCCCTTGTTGAGTCCTGATTGAAAGTCAAGGCAGTCTCTTCAAGTTGAATACCTTCAGCATTCTTTGACATTTAAAGGGATATAATTAAATTAGAATTAAACTAGAGAAAAGCCAGTGAGGTTAGCACTATCCCAGGGTTCCTGTGGTGTTTCTGTTTCACAGTAAAATTAACTTTCTTAAAGCTAGATTTATACTACTCCATTAGGTCTACTCGATCGAACTCTCATGCTGCTTCTTTTTGAAAGATGTACACTGTAAATTGACTTGAAACTAGTTGACTACTAACATGATGAAGTGTCACTCCATGAATTCACTTTATTTTGCTTCCACATCAATGCTTATCAAATGTAAAATACATATGTATGTCCAATAAAATTCACACTACCGATAAATATCAAACCAGAAGACAAATACTGTTAAGGATTAGTACACAAAGGTTGACAGGAAAAGTTTGTGACTTCCCCATTTAGATTTCAAGCCAAACTTTCCATAATATACTTGCTCTGAACTGCCTACTGTAACTTTTTCACCAGAGACTTTTCCAAATTAAACTTTTCCCATGAATAGCTTTACAAGAGTTTTCTCATAACTCTGTATGCGACTGTGGAGTTTTGGCTTAAGCCAAATAGGACCGCTGTCGACCTGGGGACACCTAATTTAGTGCAAGGGTTTCTAATGTGTGGCCGTGTCCGCATTACCAGGCAGTACATGTAGCTGTGATAAGTGCGCATGTATTGTTTCCAATGACAGAAACACCATTTGGATGCAGCCCAAGATGACCAGCAAATATACACAAGCTGGGAAAATCTGTCTGCTAGACTGGTTCCTTGCCCATCCTTGGTATTTCAAAGTCTGTGAAGGAGGGTGAGGGACCTATCGCCAGCCTACTTCATTCTTGTTATGCCAATTTAATGCTTTCCCAGGTCTTGATTCCTAAAATGTAAACATGGTGAACTTCATACAGGGATCAGGAAAATGGCAATATCCTTGTACGTGCATCTTAACAATCCTAAAGTGAAGCATTTGTAGTCCATGCACAACGGTGGGGACCAGAACCTGTACTTACGTCAGTTTTCATTAAATACAATAAAGGACATAGCATGACACATGTGCTAGCCCAACTGCACTATGTTTATTTGAAACACAGGGAAGTAAATACATATTCACATGTAGGGATTTCCTGAGATACAGGTCAAGCTTTCGTTTCTTTGCAGCAGATCGATACGTATATGTCTGTTATTTGGAGTTTAATAGCTTGAAAAACCCAGCTCTAGTGAGCCACAGAGCTTGACTTTTTGAGCTAGCGCAGAGTGATGTAAAACTGAATAATAAAACTGTTCTAGATCCTCTCTGGTTTCTTGAAAAAAAATCTCAATACCACAAGAAGACTAGAATCAGAAAGTTGGAAGACAAGATGTAAGAATAAGTTTTATTTACACGTTGTAATTGCATTGAAGACTGCAAATATCAAATACCATGCTATGATTACCGTTGATGCAGTCCACGGATACCAACGTGCAACAGGACGATGGGGGGGGGGGTGGTTACAAGGATAAGGCCACATAAAAATAAGTGGTGAGCATTCCTTATTTCTTTCAATCTTGGAGCTTTTTTGTGTATTCGGCTCAAGGTACATCTTTGCTGGATTGGAAAATATTAAATAAAGAGCAGTTTCTTCACTAAACTGAGTTTTATTTATCTTCTTTACGAAATTGTCTTACACTGGCAAGTCATTCACCACAAAAGGAGATTGGGGTTGTACAGCCAGGGAAAAATAGGAGTTTTTTTCAAAGTGGGTCACGGTGCTGTAGATCTAGCTGTGAAGTGGAATAAGTATCTGGAATGGCTGCCGCTATTGAGTATTGCATGACCCAGCTTGCAGCAGAGAGGCCATATCTGAATTACTGGCTTTGGCTGCAACCACAATGTACAAAGCTTTTGTGGTTGCCACCTCACCGGCTGCTCAATTTTCAAAGTTGAATGTGGGATCATCCAAAAGGCTGTTTTTCCATTTTTTTCAATCAATAAACATTTTTTTTTTAAATTGGGGGAGGGTGTATTTCTTAGGGGCGGAAGGGGATGATCACCAACTAATTTTTTTTATATGGCCTAAAGGGGACTCCTATATCTCTTCATCTTACGATTTCCTCTTGAATTCATTTGTGACCTACTTCTGTCAGGTTAATTGATGGTTGATGTCTTTTTTTTTTCAAGGTTTCTTTCATGTCGTCCCCAGCAAATCTGACGTCCCTCCAGAGATACTGAGACCTTACATTAATCTTAATGAATAATACAACCCAACCTGGCATTACATTCAAACATGAATTACATCATACACTTTTCATTACGATTCTACGCAATTCTCATTCTCTGTGACCAATTCATTTTGACGTGTTATAATTTGTTCTCAGTTACCGTGACAGCACAGCTCCAAAAACAAGTGAACCAAGCCATCAAGAGTGAGATAAGCTACATGTACATGAGATCTCAACTCATGTCTTCTTCATATTTCATGTGATATGGCAGCCCCGTGGAATAGTAAATATACAATACATCAGTTCTACATTTTTGTGTATTATGACAAGCCATTGGAACAACAGTGTACATGTATGCAATACATAATCAGTTCCTTGCACGTGACGGTTTCACTGCATCTGTGATAATTTCATATTAGAAATTCTCAAGAAATACTTGAAATATACACATGGATCTGTTATTTTACGCTGTCACCAGGATCCTCCATCGCGGAGCCTGGGTCAACCTCGACCCCCTGTGGTTGGGTGTACGATGCATCCAGCAGTTCCTCCACAAGACAATGGTATTGCTTGCTCCAATGCCTGTAATAGAAGGGCTACCCAGACCACCACAACACTTTGCACAAGTGCTCCATCTATGCACCACCAAATAGTGTCTCTGGGCCATTAGCTCTGGAAAATGAAATTGTGGACTGGCTGTCCTCAGACTTACAAGTCTGGTTAATGTTTGGTCGTGCTTGAATGAAGGAGCAAACAAGGTTTTGGGATCATATCTACGAAACGCGCACAGTAGAAGTTTTCTGAGTGGTATCAGTCCAAGGCTTAATTTTGCACGGCTACATGTGCTTGGAGCATGGTCTGAGGAAAGCAGCGCAGAGCTGTGGAGAAACTAGTCAAAAACCAGTCACAATCTGTTTATTCGTTGCATAACTTTTGGGCTGGTAACCTGTTCTTGCTAAGTATGTATTTATTTGCTGAGCAAATTTCAGCAGTTTGCAGCTCTATGAAATGGGTCCCTAATTGAAATGAGGTCGTGTCTGAATTACTTGGATGTGGCTAAACATTACACACAAGTCTATGCTTGTGACTGCAGCTACGTCCTATAGAGTCTGTGTGGTTTCAAGCCACAGCCAAGCAATTCAGACATAGCCACACACAGAAAGTCTGCTGAGACTCTTAAACATGTTACCGATAATGAACCATATGCTAACTGAATAAGGACTCTCCAATTATGCCATTCGCTGGGGTAAAAAAAAGGAATGTGCATTCACTGAAATTTATTTACATATTTCAAATATTACATGCTCAGCACGTCTTATCGGTAACAAGATAAACCTGATTGTGGTCTTTGATAGAGGTCATTCATTATATTCATCATTTTTACAAGGATACAAAGAGTTCTTCCTTTCGAGACTCCCTCTTAACAGAACCAACTGAAATAAACATGTGATGTTTCTGTGATGGATGTTAGCATCGTTTTTGAAATTGTTGAGAAGCGCACATGGCCCCCTGATTCCCCTGGTGCACATTTGCATGCTTGTAAAAAAAAGAAGGGAAAAAGAGTGATGGCCACTTATTAAACTTGACATGACAGCACTCAAATGCGTCATCAATGTAATAAGCATTCATTTATCAACCTGTATATATCAATAAATACACATTACAATAGGAAATAAATGATGAGGTAAATCTAAATCCAAAACACAGTCACCAATTATTCAGAATGCGACATGACTATTTTATTCCCAGAACTTTTGAGGAGAAATTTCAGGCACAAAAAAAACCAGGGCTGCTGATGAACGTCAGATTGATAGATTAGCGAATGGCCTCATTACACAGGATTTAATTGGAAGCCCACGTGTGCATGTAGTTACATGTTAGGACATTCAGCCAATTAGACGGGGTGGGAGAGAAATGAGTAGACAGATGTTATTCATCACCTCCACCACTTGCGTAGATCATTCCTTGGCCATTTGCTTGTAGATGCCTAAAATTGAGACACAAATCTGATGGCAGTGTTTCAGTTCCAAACGTAATTTGGAGTCTTGCAAACTGTAATTGATAGCTCGAGTTTCAATGGCATTATGTTTTGTTGGGTCTTTTTTGCCAAATGAAAAACTGTACGAAATCCAATAAGTTTTGAAGAAACCTAATAAGTGGTAATTTAAAATTTTTGTTGCATCCAAACTTTCTCAACAAAAATAATCCTGAAGTGTCTCTTAGTGACCTCCGTATCTGTTATTTAATCGAGAAATTATTTCTAGAAACTGAACACCGATTATTCAGGGGTACCCTTTTCCATGGAAGTTGCTTGTACTTTTTATTGTGTGCCTTGTCACGTCAACGTCATTCTTATGTCTGTGCATTAATCATGCCCGATGATTAGCACACGTGCTATTCGCATGATATGATGTAAACCGCGACCCACTATCTCATCCTGTCTAGTGCTGTTTCCGAGCAACCGCTGACAGATATGACACGCTTGCTCGGCGAAGCTTTTACCCGAGGATGGTTAGTTCATTATATTTATGATTCCTTGATGAACAATTGTGCAAATCAGCAAATTTCCGGTCTCCCTGGCAGGACAAAGCTTGCTGGTTCCATGAAGGAGGGCTCCCTTGCGAGCATGTCTGTGGTGAAGGCCATTACTGACAAAATAACACCACCAAATGAGACATTGACAACATTTACGTTAAGTGCTCAGCATAAAAAAAAATTGTATAAATCAAACGTCACTGTTGGAACTTTATTATGAAATTGAGCATGTTTTCTCTAAATGTTCAATATGTGGGCATTGATAGAAATCATGATGCAACCTCTGAACAAGAAATCCAGACTTCCGTCATGACTTCGCTCAATTGCTTGAAAAATCTGCGCTAGTCTAAGCAAATCTTGCTGCCAAACGGAGCCTAGGCAGCACACAATGATGATTATACCACTTTCAAATCGCATCAAGTAATAAGGACTCCAAGGGTCTCTTGAACAAATAAGAATCCTTGGAATTACAATCACAATGCATTACTCCGGTTTGTTTGCCAAACGGACCTCTGATAACTGCACCAGAATAAACATCGTTCCAGGATTTCAAAATTGTTTGGTTTGGGATACATGCTTGATAGCCCTTTATTTGTAGACTACTCTTGAAGGATTAACTTTCGTGAGATACATGAATAAAGTTTATTCCAGGTCATCCAAAAGGTTGTTGTAACCTTATTAGGATGTTCAAGATCTGTTTGTTTTTCAAGTTCTTGTTCCTTCCGTCTTTTGGAACACTGTGTCAGTATTTTGAGCTGAGAATGTCGCTGATAAAAACTGAACTTTAACAGATTGTGATGTCAATATAGATAAGTCTGTAAATAAATTGAATAGAAAATTATTTTGCGAATATAGAAACTTCAGAAATCTTGCACCAAGTCTACAAACGCGAGTCTGCTAAATCTCTCATTCTTAGGACTGGTCTAATTTTCATGTTCTGGATACATCACAGATGCTGTTCACTGAAAGTTCATTGAAAATCTAAATTCTTCAGTGAACAATTCACATATCTTATTTCATTTTGTAATTTGAGCAGCTGTGGTACATTTTTATAATTTGCGAGGTGACTATGCATTATTTGACTTCAATAAAAGTTCATCCACTTCTGCAAGTAAAATCTTAAATGGACTGGTTACAGACCCCTTTACAGGTCAAAAAGTAGTGGCATTTATCTGACCCGTGTCTACTGGTCTAGCCTAGTCACTATTCCCTGTGTCTGTTGGTCTAGCCCAGCTGTCATTCCTTTGTCTGTTGGTTTGTCCCGGCTGTCCCTTCACTGACTTTGTCTGTCGGTCAAGCCTGGCTGTACCTACACTGCGTTTGTTAGTCTAGCCCAGCTGCCGTTCCTCTGTCTGCTGGTCTAGCCTAGCCACCTAGTCTTGTGTCTGTTGGTCTAGCCTAGCTGCCAATCCTCAGTCTGCCCATCTAGCCTGGCAACCAATTTTTGTGTCTGTTGGTTCTGCCCAATAGTCATTCCTGTGTCTGTTGGTCTAGCCCAGCCGCTGTTCCTCTCTTTGTTGGTCTAGCCTGGCAACCAATTCCCAAGTCTATTGGTCCAGCCTGACGCTAATTCACTGTGTCAGTTGGTCTCAGCCTGGTTGCTGTTCTTCTATCTGCTGGTCCAGCCTGGCAACCGATCCTTGTGCCTGTTGGACTTGTCCGGCTACCATTCCTGTGTTTGAGTGTCTAGCCCAGCTGCTATCCCCTATCTCTCTTGGCTCATCTTCCATGATCATCTCCTTTTCATCTTCTGGTTTGGTGACCAATTCTTCCGCTTCTTCCCTTAATGCCTCTGCTCTTTCAGCAAGCTCCATCTACAACACAACGCAAAAAAAAGGATTAACCAAAAGAGTTTTCTTGTCAAGAGTGTGATAAACAATGTGGACAATTTTAAAGAAATCAGAATTCAAGGACTTATGGTATTTCGGTATTTCACTCAAAATTAAAAAACTGTCATCAACGATGTCAAACATGGCTAAGCCAGCCATTTTTAATTCAAGTTTACGGTGTAAAAACTAGAATGAAAAAAAAAATAGAAATGTGAAGCAAATTTCATTTCGAACATTCACAGTAAAATTTGCTGGATTTAAAAAAATGGTCAACTTTTTCAAATTGCAGAGCAAATATTTGCAGGTTACATTACAATTTTGTGTTCTTGTACAAATTATTAACTAGGCCTATTTCAAGCACAACGAATAATAAAAGGCTATCATGTGACCCACAAGACAATGTCCCATTGGTCAGAAGCCGAGTTTGATGACTGGTTTACTGTTGATACAAGCGCTGAATTTCAAACGATAAACCCAAAGCGCTTTTTGCAACGCTTCTTCAAAAAAAGATACCAGAAAAGGAATAAAACTCAAGTATTGCTAGCTCTACCTTGGCAGCTGCAACGATCTCCTGGGCCACTCTCTTGGGCAGATGTTCTACCTCTTGAACCAACTGTTTGGGGTCAGCATGAGCCAGGTGACGTATGGTCTTGTAACCAGCTCTGACCAGTTGCTTAGCTCTGCCCTGAAAGAAAGAAACCCACCACTAATCAAAAGTGGTTCTGTAAGATGTAAACAGAAAACTTCATTTTATCAATGTAACATTAAGGCCGTTTTCCAATACTCAACTTCGGCTCTGACTCAGGCTGCAGCTGTTTTTTTACTAGCTGACTTTGAAGCTGTAAGCGCAGTAATCAGTCAAATAGTGCCACAGAACATCAAATGAGATGCAAGAAAGCCAAAAATTATTGTAATCCAATGTAATTTAAACGCTTCAGGCCCACAATCGAGGATTGGTTTTGGGAACGAAGCCTGAGACGGAGACGAAGTTGAGTATTGGAAAACGGCCCAAGTGTAGGCAATCTAGAGTCACAAAAAATGCATAATAATCACATCCAGCATCAAAACTGATGACCTTTAACCTCTTGAGGACTTCTTGACCTTATGGTTGCTAACCTGTTTGACACCGGGAACTTCCAGTAACGACACCAGGTCAGCTGTGGCACAGTAGGTCAAGTCATACACAACTTTTGTAAGAAGCTGTTGGTAGGCCCAGAACTCTGGAAGATCCTACAATATACCGGGTACAAAGACAGAATCTATTAGAATTACTGCATGGTTGCTGGCTACCTTCAACTGACCAACCACTAGGCTCAACAAGTAGAGCTTGGCTCAAACACTGACTACAAAATTGAAATAAAAATTGAATGACACTCATAAATACTAACTGATACTGCATCAAACAAGTGTATTAAGTAAAATGTATGTTTATTAAATAATTAAGGTACTCCCAGAATGCTCCCACTTTCAGTACGACTGTTTCACAATAGTGCGCCACCAAGAGTTTGCAAAGCATTGGCCAATCACAATGCGCGAAATGTGTCGACCCAACGTGCGTTTGGAAAGGGTCGACACATTTCGCGTGTTATGAATGGCCACCGTGTTGCAAACTCTTGGTGGCGCACTATTGTGAATCGCCCGTATTGCTTAAAGTAGAATCCACTGTGAAATCCTGAGAACTGTGATCTGCTCACCCGTGTAAGATTTCAAACCTGAAGTAAACTTCACTTTCAACCAGATTAAAACTGACCAATGAACACAGCCAAGGCAAATGGTGAAAATCACCACTTGTTTCAAACCAGGTTAAAGGAGTACACTGGTTGGATAATCGTTGAAGCTGATCCAAGTTCAAATCAAAACTTGGATTGATTTCAAGAGTCCAAGAATGCTACAAATATCTAACAGCTGAAACATTTTCACCAACCTCACAGAAGCGCTGGATGCTGGAACCAAAACTCGCAGCGGAGGTGAACAAGTTCTGGACAAACCCCCTGGGGACTTCAAACTTGGCAGCCACGTCCCAGATGCCAGTCTGGTTCAAGATCATCCACAGCATCAGGGTCAGGTAGAAACGACGGACGTGGAAATCCGTTTCTTCGTTAGTCTGAATGCAAGAGATGGATGGCCAAATGCTGTGACGATACCCAACCTTACATTATACATGGTTTACTTTCCTAAATTTTGAGAGCCCACGAAAGGTCATTTTGTCACTTCATTCCCTTTATCCTTCCTTATTCACAATGAATGGATCATAATAAAATGCCTAAAGACTGGATGGAATTTATGAAATTATCAACCATACAAAAAAATTCACAGGCATTACATAGCTTGTTCACACACCTGTACCCCGCACAATAGCACAAGAGAAAAAATGGATACTAGAGCAATTTCCATGAATCTACATTCGTTTTCGTTCCTCAGGGAAAAAGCTTTCATCATCTTGCCTACCACAAAACACATGCCACACATCGCATGCTCTCAGGAGAATGCCAAGTAGGGCTTCAAAGTTTTCACACTTGCCAGCTTCTATAATGCCAGGACTAGCAAAATGTACATAAACAGCAGCTGGAGGAAAGTCTATGTTGCGCCCCTTTTGCACAAGGATTACTTGCTCAGGAGGTATGTCCCCAAGTCACTTTTTCGCTAGTGTAGACTCCTCTCAAGACTTACTCTGTGGGTTTTCCTGCCTGCCACTTTGAAGTTGAGGTACTTGTCTGTCACTCCGACCAGCTCAGCAACTCGCAGATCACCATCATTCAAGTTGGAATACTATGAGTCAGGGTTGAGATAAATGTTAGGTCTAAGAGTTACTTAAATAGTCTAATTCAACATTAAACTTTATAAACATAAGAACAGGGAAGATTCATCTCTTCTCATTGTGTGAAATTTACATTTTTTTTTTTGCACAAATCTCTGAAACTGTTGAAAAACAGGTTGAAAAAGCCTTCAAACACTGATTGGTCAACACAGTCTGGACATACCAGTCTGTCGTATATGACCCAATTGGGGTTGCTCATGGACACCAGGTCATAGGGCGTAACCAGGTACAGGAGATGTAGTGAGTTGGCTAGGACAAGTCCCTCGTCACAGGCCTGCTTCAGATCAACGTAGATGGAGGCACACAGGTCAATGTCGATAGAACCTGAAAAAGATAAAACTTGATCTTAGTAGAAATGTATAACGAAAAATCAACTACGATGAGAGGCTTAACCACTTCCTGCCGGGGCAGTTATCAATGTTGATGATGCTGGGCAGGGATAGTTATCATTTTTTTTTTTTGCAAAATTCTTTAAAAATTCCTATCTTCATTTACTGGACACTTATAAACAGGTGAAGGACTGTCTGGTGTCCACTGTAGCCTGATAGACAAAATCCATTGACACCTAACTATTTCAACCGGGCCTGCAGCCTTGTAAAAAAAGCTCAGATTGTGCGGTGTTGTATAACTTTCTTTGTTCATGAACCTGGCTCAGTGTGCTGCTCACCTCTTTTCAATAGGGGCCAGATCAGCGTGCAGCGGTGCTGTGTGGCTCATCGCTGCGGTGGTGGAGCGCTTTGTTTCCGGTGGTAATCCGCTCGCTCTAAATGCCCCAAACTGTGATATACAGTTTCAAAACAAGGCTGGATTATCACCACTTTTGAGAGTGAAAAATGTTGGCAATGCCCAGCAGCCTGGTCGTTTGTTCGGAGTACGGTCTTTTGTTACAGGGCCCTGTTCCCTTTGTCCAAGTTCGGAGACCCCGGCCACGCATATAAAGCATACGTCTCCGATTCCGGAGTCCCCGGCAGGAAGGGGTTAAGCATGGTGACTGGATGAGTCTGAGTACAACTATTACACTGACCTTTGAAAGCTGCTCGACCAAGTTTAGTGACTGTCAACTCAGGCTCCCCTGCATGCTGGGATTGATCGCATGGCTTCTCACTGACCAGTTTCAGCTCGAGGAGTTGTCCGAGGCCCTCTGACGTCAGGGTGCTGACATCGCTCCCCGTGCGTGAGGCCTGAATGCCAAAGAGCGTCTGATTCATGAAATCCAGGACTGCTTTGCGGTGCATAGTGAGCTGTCAATGTGAATCATTAAGGGTAAATTACCGCATATTGCTGGTGTAATAGGGCGCTATCACATAATAACCACTGCATAATTAGGGTCTCTAAGATTATATTTGGTGGTACAGAGACTTGCTACATCACACAATAGTGATCCGTAGTACATCTCTTGCAACTTCTCTTCTATTCAAGGCAAGAATATTGAGTTATTTACCTTGAGAGCAATTAGCGTCAGAATCAGGCTTCTGATCCCTTTGCCGTCATCGTGGGTCAAACTGCTATAACAAGCCTCTATGGGTTGACTCAATAACTCTGCAATCTGGGCGAGTATACACGAATATTTCAGTAATGAATGAATACAGCCAGTTACTCTGGTCAAGCAGAATGGTTGGAGAAGAGGGACTCGGACCACCAGTTGAGGCGAGCAGTTGCCAAGGTTATGCTCTACTCTAGGTTGAACGAAATCAAGCGATACTTCCTTGCATAACCTTCCCTGACTGGTCTACAGTCCACACGGACAGATGGCACAGAGGAGACGAGATGGAGACAGGGTCTAGGAACCAGGATTATTTTTCTTTTTGGAGATTGACAATAAATATTCGACACTTGGATGCCACTGCCACTTTACCCTCATGCTCAGAGGAAATGTAACGCGTGCATGTAGGTGGCATGGTTTTTGTGCACATCCAAGCGAAATTCTGCGATGTGAACTCGCTGCTGAGCTCGTGGAAATTAGTACAGTGTGTCCTAACATAAAACTTCTTTTGAGCAAACTTCTCAGTACAAGCTACTGTCATTAAACAGCTTGCATAAGTGTGACGGTAATTCGCCGCGAGTTGGACCAAAAGGCGTAATTTTCCTACCAACAGGTGTGAACTGCATTTCCCTGGTTCACAAACGACTATGAACCGCATGCCTTACGACTGCGTGGCTACCAACAAAATGAACACTCCAATCCCCACCAACATGGCCCTCTCCAATCAATAAGGCAGTGCTCCTGCTCAAGGCAGAGAGATAAGTGATTCCTACCTCTTTCTTCTCCTTGTGCTTGATGATGAGTATGCTTTCCCCTGATGAGTCGATGCCTGCCCTCCCTGCCCGGCCCACCATCTGCTTGTACCGTGTGCTGGTTAACAACTCTTGGGCGATGTAAGGGCTTCTTAAGATCACTCTAAGTGCAACACGTGCAAGAGAACGTACTAGCTGGTATCAGTCATCAAATGTATTGATCACACAACTGGTGCAAACAGAAAATCAAGGGTGGTCTAGCTTGCATCCGTGGGGGCATCAGGCTAGTCAATACAGTCAGGCTGAGTGAGAAATCTTCAAGGTGCTTCAAACAAATGCAGACAGTGTGAATGATGTGACAGTCTGTTTAGATCTTCATATACTAACTGAAATTTCACAAGAGGAAGCACTGATAATGTATGATGCAGTGTATAGGCAAAAATGAGAATTTCACTGTTGACAGGGGTCATGTTTTTATTTTAAAATTCAACGAAAAACAACTTCAAGAAGTCTTAGAACTCGTTGTCAAATGTTGTCTTTTGAAACAAATAGAACCGACATGGTAGTCAAAATCAGCCAATGCCTACCTCCTGGCTGGTAGATTGACCCCCGCAGCAAGCGTGGATGTGCACGTCAGCAGGCACAGCGTGCCGTCGGAGTAAGCGTCCTCGATCAGCTTGCGTTCGTCCATGGTCAGCCCGCTGTGGTGGTACGCCAGTCCATAGGGGACAGTGCGCTTGAGGGTGGGGCACAGGTGGTTGTCGCACTCTCGTCGCAGGGACAGCAGCAGGATGCGTTTCTCCTCCTGTCTGTGATGCATCAGTTTCTTGGCTTCGTTCCTGGAGTGGAGAGTGTGGGAAAAGGAATTGGATGCCAAGAACAGGGCACTACTGAGTAGCATTTTCTGTCCAAGCGCGAAACAGGACTAGTAAGATTTGACTAGAAGATCTTGGATAAAATGCACTGCCTCAGGAATAATACAATCTCCTCACTCGTTTTGACAATCAAGAGAGGATAACTGAGATTAATTAACATAGCAAGCATTCTGATCCTCAGCTTTGGCTCTGTCTTCTTCTGAATCATATTCCCCAGAATGTCTCTCTATTTTGGTTGAAAAACTTCTTACACAAATTTCAGACTCATCTGCTACAGCAAAATTACGGATAATTTTGCCTTGTAGTCACCTATCAAATTCATTCCCTTTGTACAACATGAGTTTACAATGTGAGTTGTGAGTCACTAGAGCCACTATTGAATCAAGTTACAGGCCTTTAAAGGAATCCTGCACAATGCAATTCAGAGGGAACCCTGATCTGTTTTGTCAGTGTAATGTCCTTTTCCTCAGGATGGGAAACTGAGCGATCCATGCAACAAAGGAACTAACTTTGCTGTGTGCAATGGAAAGTGACAAACTTACTGAAAAATAAAAATGGCCTCATGATCTTTCATTTGGTCACCTTTTATTTTGTGTAAACCTGACGTTCTGAGTATTCAAAGTGTGATGCAATTTTCAACATCGACCCCAGTTCTAAATCCTTCACCTGTTAGAGGATTGAAGATTTTCAAGGGTAAAGAAGTAATGCTGTTCTCACTTGGGCATGTGTTTGCAGATGAATTCAGCCACGTTCTGGCAGCTCTTCTTGGTGGCACAGAAGATGAGGCAGGAGTGGACGGGGATGACCTCCAGGGCTAGACCCACCAGATGATCGGGGTCGTTCTTGCGCATAGACTGTGTGTACTGTGAATATGAGAGGGAAAAGAAGCATTAGGAACTCAACATAAGGGAATCTACACAGGGAAGAAGAAAGTTATGAGGAAAGCGTACTCCCTTCCTGGCCCTAAAATAGAGGAATTCTAGTTTTCCCTAAATGGTGGGCATTTTACAAATTTAGGCTACATGTATAATCCTGAGCAATTATATTTGCTTTTCATTGAAAAAGGTTTGCCAGCTGGAAGCCTGAGAATGCTTTTTCATATAAGGTGCCGCTACGCTCAGGGCTAACCCTCAGGAACCCTTGTCAATTAAATTTATATCAGTCAAAGCCAAATTCCATTTTGATGAATAAAAGTGCACAGAAATGCAGAGCTTGTGGATGTTATTTAAAAAAAGAATGAATTTATTGTCATAGATTGTTACCTGGATATCAAAAAACTGAAGGGGGAATGAAGGTCAAAAATAGTAATTGAATGCACGAATCGCTGTTCTTATTTTTAAACATCTCTGCCTGTCTAATACTAAATGAGTGTCATTGTCATCAATCCTGTCGTCTACACACCCAACACACACTGAAGGTACTGCCAATATGACATGTGACCTCAGCTGTTCCTTTATTGCAATGGTGTGGTGGCAGAGTAATGACCATTCGTGAACAACTTGAGGAAGAGTTGAGTTAAATAGTGGGGTCTTTCAAGAAATGAACACTCCAAACTCGACTTCTCAAGTGACTCACTGGGAAAGTGAGTATTCTGGAATGAGTGAATCTGTCATCTGGGCACAGTGCTGACTGGTTGACCTCAAAGATGTTATCCTCAATCTTGATGTACTCCTTCAACTCCACCTATGCAGAAAATGTACGAGAAAATGGCGTTACTGTCGATTCACAAGAAGTATCATTACTGAGATAAATGAAATACTCTCAGTCAAATTTGTATATACAGTTCTATTTCTTACATTTAAGCTTAATTTATTGTTTGCTCATCCACCAGCGTAAGCACCAATTATACAATGATTGTAAGTCATAATGAAGAAGACAATGAAGACATATTGGTTTTAAATGTGGGAAGAAAACCCTAGGCAAACATCGAAGGAAAGCACTAGGAATCAGGTAGGGACTGAAAACCAAATCCACGTGTCAGCTTTGGGGGAGGAATCAAACCTCTGTCATGACAGAGGTGAGAAGTGAAGAAAGTACTACAACGTTAACCGGACTCCCTTGTAAGAACAGCTTGATGGTTAAGTCTACAGTTATCAAAATCATTGCCCAATATCCTTATAGTATAATAATAATTACCGAATATGGGTCATTAGGGAGACATTCCCATAAGAACATGCGCAAAATTTTTCCAACTGTACTGTCCCATAATTCAATATTCCCTGATCCAATCTTAACCAAACTTTGCATGTTTTCATTTTAAACCCTAATCTATCATCTCTCAAAATTTGGACGGTAAAATTCGGCCTCCTCCTGGTAGATGGAAATGTCTCCCTAATGACCACTGTCTCCCTAAGGTTGAAAAATTTACCACAAAGTGTCTCCCAAATGACATATTTGTGATATTATTGCTTATTAAGCTCAGACACGTGACACTGACCCTCAAGGTTGGACCCCAAGACTTTCCACTTTAAACAGACTTACGGGTCTGAAGTCACTGCAGTAGACCTCGGCCCTCATGAAGATGCAGAGGTCCTGGATGTTACTCAGAGTGGCGCTCATCCCAATGATGTGGGCGGAGTTTAGGTGGAGGAGTTTGGCGATGCAGGCTTCTAGGCTGGCCCCGCGACGCCCTCCATCTCCTAACATGTGAAGCTGCAGAAAGGTGAAATATTTTCACCTTTTAAGAACGATTCTACGAGGATCGAAACGTCCGACAGTTGGACAGTTGTATATCTCAGCTCCAAGCAGTCAGTCAATAGTTTGCAGCCATTTTTGTATTTTTCAACAATAAATAGTTATCTAAAGTTGTGACTCCAGTAGTCACTGTGTTAGCCTTCCATACCTAGTGTGGACCCATGAACAAAAGAGGCCATTATAATGCAGGTTGTGCCAATCTTGTGTAACTAAGCCAGGTCCACACAAGGTTGCCACCTTTCTGAAATTAGGTTTAGAAGCCTTCAGCCGTGAAGTTTATTTGTATGAAAATGAAGAGAGGAACAGTGAAGGAAGTCATCAACAAACATCCAACTTAAAAGAGTGTTCATGGCACAAGAGAAATGGGCATTTTTTGAGTATTTACAAGTATCCTCACAAGGTACAGGTAAGTAACATAATCGTGTGTGTGTGTGAGTTTGTTTCTGCATTCAATC